ATCAGCACCAGAATTCGCGTTTCATACTCAACGACGGTACAACAACAAAAAAAATCGACAAAACAACCGTCAAGATCAACAGTAAGTCCCACCGTTCTGTCACCTGTGCAAGACATCAGGTCATCCTCGCGCACACTGCCCGAATCAGCAGCAGTTGACATCGCCGCAACGTCAACTTCGGCCCTCAAGCAGTCAAGTGACTTCTACACAGGCACATCCCACCAATCAAGTACAGTCTTCAACGCCATCAATGACAAAACCTGCGCAAGGCACAAGAAACATCGTAAGCTGTATGACAAGAACAACATACTCCTGCATCACCGGATCACCACCGTTTTACTCACCAGAAGAATAGCTTGACGAGAGCACTCCTCGCCGCGAATCACTGGAGCCCAACCCGACGTATGCAGCCATCGCCCAGAGCGAGCCATCCGAGAAAGACATTTGGTTCTTGGACAGCTCCTGCGGACAGCACATGTGCTCTTCGGGTCGCTTCGTTCAACAGGAACACCAGCTTCAACGCGAAGTTGTAATCACCGACGTCAACAACCAGAACCTGCACACACGACGACAAGGGATCGTTCAACTTCAGTCTCGAGAAACTAACGTTATTCTACAAATGTCGAAGGTTTTAATTGCAGAAGGACTCGGCTACAACTTACTCAACGTCAGTCAATTGATGGCGAAGGGCATTCATCTCGAAGCAGATAGCACCACTCGGGAGTTCAAGTTATTCCACGGAAAGGGCGGACTCTACATTGGCAAGGCAGTCTTGAAGAATAACGTCTTTGTTCTTGACTTCGTTCTGGACCAAGGTACCGCCAACAGCGACGCCATCGTCAACTTCGCTTCTTGGACACATCCCGATCTCAATGCCGACTTCAGTCCTGGAGGATTTTGGTATTCACATACCATACCTGAAGCAGAAAGAACAAGGGCATTAGCAACAATCCGGCAAGAAGAGACAACATCGACAGCAGCAGAGACAACATCGGCAGCAGCAGCAACACCTATGGCACCAATCGCGGGCTCTTCGACAGCACCAGTTCTCATCGACGACACTCCACCGACTCCTGCGCAGCAATTAACTCCCACTCCACGCGAAGTTCACAGAAGCGCCAACCTCACCGCGGGATTTTACTCCAACTCCGACCTGTACAGGCGCTCATTCGGACATCGTGCGAGCGAATCACTATAGCACGAACGATTAGGTCATCCAAGCAACACAACGTTAAACAACACGATCAAGGCAGCTGTACTCGACAAAGACTCACTCCTTCTACCCGACGTCAGAGAACTTCAACGAGTCCGAGGCGCATGCTTTACCTGCCCCGAAGCCGACTTACCTCATCAACCGTTTTTCTCTCACCACAATCCAAGCTCGCCAGCCTACGCACCCGTGGAGAAAGTATACAGCGACATCCTGTACACTCGCGAACAAGGTCAAGGAGCATATAACTATGTGATTACTTTCATCGACGCCGCCACCCGATACGTCTGGCACCTCAACCTCCCAAGTCGCGACATGGCCTTCGAAGCCTTCGTCGCCTGGCTACCTGTGGCAGAACGAGAATCAGGAGCAAAGCTGAAAAGCTTCCAGTCAGATGGGGGAGGAGAAGATCAGTCACAAAGGTTCAAGCAGTACCTCGCAGAACGAGGCATCAAGCTGTCAGAGGTCCACTGGTGATCCCCGATTGATCCTAGGGAAGGGTTACAAGCTCGTTGTCCTGGGGGGGTATGGGCGCACTGACCCGCTACTTAACAAGCCCTTTTATCCCAATGGTCTAGTGGTTGGGATTCTGACATGGTATCAGAGCGGTCTTGGGTTCGAATCCCAGTGTGTGCACTTCGGGCATCCCAGTGCGGGGGGGTGTCAGAGGTCCACTGGTGATCCCCGATTAATCCTAGGGAAGGGTTACAGGCTCGTTGTCCTGGGGGGTTATGGGCGCACTGACCCGCTACTTAACACGCCCTTTTATCCCAATGGTCTAGTGGTTGGGATTCTGACACAAGCGACTCATCTCGCTTCCCTACGCCCATCAACAGCAAGGCGTGGCAGAACGGATGAACAGAATTCTCCAGAACACCATGCGCAAACTGTTGCGTGGCATGCGACTGCCCAACCACCAGTGGCCTGAGGCGATGGACCATGCTGTCATGCTGCACAACTTGCTCTCGTCATCATCGCTCCCGAACAACGCATCACCGCACCTGCTGTGGACAGGAAAACAAGGCAACACAAAAATGTTACGAGTTTTTGGGTGCATGGTACAGTACCGACCGCACACTGCAAGAGCCGGAAGATTTTCTCAACGCGCACAGTGGGGGCTACAACTGGGCATCGAAAAGCATTACAACGCATGGAAGATTTTCGACGTCCACTCGAAGGAAACAGTAGCAGCACGTGATGTCATTTTCTACGAGCGACTCACACTTCAAACGTACCTGGACAACATGGCAGCAAATCGAGACCTCACGGGCGGCTTCCGTGGCAACCGAGCTTTTGCTTCAGCAGCAGACGAAGCTGACTGGGACGAGCAGAATGTGGACGAAGCTTCGGAGGAAGCCGGACCTCTTCCGTATTGCTCAGTGGACATCCCAATGGACGACGAAAATCCTCGCGAAAGTGTCAACGCCGAAACCTACTTCGACTTCGCCGACACCAGTTACGTTACACCCCAACCGGTCGACACCAACATCTCCGAACGCATATGACCTAATTTCCTACCGGATCCAGAAGCGGGAGATGAAGCAGCTTATCCCGAGGACGCAAATCTCCCCCGCTACACACAGAGTGGACTGCAAATACTAGGCCTCGTCACCGCTGTCCACGGAGCAGCACCACCTAAGGAGCCTGCCACCATTCAGCAGGCTCTGGAGGGGGGGAACACATGGAAAAATGGCACGAAGCCATGGACAGAGAGTTAAAGGCGCTGCAAGAACGCAACACCTGGAAAGTCGTGCCTATCGGAGTGGCACGCAACAAGACCATTCTCACGGGAAAATGGATTTTTTGCGTGAAAACAAAAGCCGACGGAACAATCGACAAATTCAAGGCACGCTGGGTCGTGCGCGGCTTCGACCAAGAGCATGGACGAGACTTCACGGAAACATTTGCACCAGTTAGCCGACATACCTCACTGCGGATTCTCCTCGCGATAGCCGCCATTAACAGGAAGAAACTGCGACAAATTGATGTTGCCAACGCATTCCTCTACTCCCCTGTCGATGCTAAGATCTTCGTCGAACACCCACATGGGTCTAATGCAGACCCCAACCAAGTCTGTCGGCTGCAAAAGTCGCTGTACGGCATCAAACAAGCCCCGAGACTGTGGCAGCAGCATCTTCACGCCCGCCTAATCCGCATCGGATTCCTCCAACTACCGCACGACCAAGGGATGTACCGACTCACTAAGGGGACTGACTACATCCTACTCATCGTCTACTTAGACGACCTCCTCTACATAGGCTCCACCGACGACATAACGACCTGGTTTGAAGGGGAGCTGCAGCGGGATTCGACACTCACCGTCGCGACTACCGTGACACAGTACCTGGGACTCAACATACAAGACGACGACAACGAAATCTACCTCATCGCCGAAAAATACACGGACACCATCGCTAAACGATTCGGACTTACTCCAACTGCCTTCACCACGCCATACCGCTACACCGACGGAAATCGCAAAGTCTCCACCCTACTCAAACCCACCGGCATTCGTGATTACCAACGAAAACTAGGCTGTCTACTCTTCACAGCCGTTACCTGCCGACCGGATCTATCCTACTCAGCTAGTCAACTCGCCACCTACCTCAAGAAGCCTGAAGCAGAACACATGATGGAACTCGACCGTGCACTTCACTACCTCGTCAGCACCTCGACGGTCGGACTAACCTACCACAAGACCGGAACTACGACACCCAAGTTAATCGGCTACGTCGACGCTGATCACGCTGGAGATTCTGACAACAGGCGATCTCGTACTGGCTACATCTATGGACTCGAACCTATCGGCCCTATCTCATGGCAGTCGAACAAGCACTAACTAATCGCTCTCTCTTCAGCCGAAGCAGAATACATCGCACTCTGCTCAGCCACCAAGGAAGGACTATATCTTCGCGAATTGCTGGAAGAAGAAAAATTGGCTTAGTTACCCAGCTTCTCCCTCTTCTGCGACAACCAATCGGCCATTCGCATAGCAAACAAAAATGGGTTCGCGAATCGAACGAAGCACATCGCCCTCCAGTACTTCTTCGTAGAAGACGAAATCGAGAAGGGAAGACTCGAGTTATCCTACTGTCCCACATCCGAGATGGCAGCCGATCACTTGACCAAGAAACTCGGAAAACAGAAGTTCGAGTACTGCATGCTGGTGACTGGACAAGGACACGTCAGCAGCGACACTCCAGAAGCGAAGGGGAGTGTTGGAAACAAGTACCGTAATTTAACGCTTCTGAAGTAATCGAAGTATCGACACGAAACGGAGCAGACTACAGCGAAACAACACGCGAGTCAACAAAAGTAACCGCTGGAGGTTACGCGAAGGTCAAAGGTCGCTGACCTTTGACTCGACGAAAAATACAGTGCAACAGCAAGGACACATACGGTAACTGACTCGATATTGAGCAGGTACCCGGGTCGGCACTGTATCGAACCGCAACAGCAAAAACAGTTAAAGTAAAACCTTTCATATTCCTTGTAATCATATAAAAGCTTTGTATTATCAACTTATCTTGTTCTCACATACCAGGGCAAGGTGGTTCAAGTAAACTCTATTATTACGCTTCCGCAAATACAACATTCCTACTTAAACAGATCTTAGCCTTGAAAAGATCCTAAGGGCTAGTTCTCAGCCCAACACCCTGCACACCTTTCTAGCCCTGTGAGTTGTCTTCTCTCCTAGTCGAGGGTGCTTCTTGTAATATAATTATCATATTCCATTATAGACAATAGATGTATATGCTTCTTGTCCTCTTGCTTGTTATCATCTAACACACTAGGTCTTCCTCTTCAACGCATCGACAACTAGCATCCGCACACTCCTGTTGCTAAGTGTTGCATCCCTAGTGCCCTCTTCATCATCAAAGCACCCAGCTGCCAGCAGAATCGCAGTCGGCACTATTCTCTCCATCTTCGCGCCAACCCTCACCATCTCCTCAACCGTCCTTCTCATGCAATCCCCCTGATCATCCCCAACCTCTCCCTTCACCCTCCCCTCCCTCCCCGCCCTCCCTTCCATCCCTTCTTCCCTTTCAGCAATCACTATAGCCCTCCTCACACACCTCTCCGCCTCCTCCTCTCCAACCCCTGCCAGCTCCCCCACCACCCTCACCGCTCTCTTAAAGAGCTTCTCGTTACTCACTCTAAGGTCCACCATGCGGTTACTGTACACTTTGCCTAGAAGCACATGTGCTCCGCTACTAGCAACGTTAAGAGCCAGTTTCACTGCTAGTTGTGCAAAGAGGTCGGTACGGGGAAGGAGAGGCGCGGCGGAGGGAGCGGGAAGGGAGATGGAGACCTGGAGAAAGGTGGGATTGAGTGGGTGGGGGGAAGGAGAGGAGAAATAGGAGGCCATAGGGGAGGAAGTGGAAGAGGAGGATAGAGAAGAGGGGAAGGAGGAAAATGGAATGTCTGAGAAGAGAGCAGATGCGGAGTCCATTGGCTTGGGTCTCCGCTTCCTGATTCCTGTGTCACCTGCTGCTGCTTCCGTCTCTGCATCAACTCCTGCGCCCGCTTTTGCTTCAGCTAGTGCTGTTGTTGCTGCTGCTACAGCTTCAGCCTTGGCTTCAGCTTCTGCTGCTGCTGCTGCTGCCGCATCACCAGGAGGCTTCTGAGTAGACTCACAAGCTTGCCCTGTGGCGCTACTGTGAAGCAGATGCTCGGTTTCATCCCCATCCACTGACTCCCACTCACTCCCCTCCTCACTCCCCTCCTCGTCCCCCTCCTCATTCCCGTCCCCAGACTTACCCTCTCTCTCCTTATCTACAGCCAATCTCTCCTCCTCTCCTAACTCCCTCCCCACCAGCACCCCCGAATCACTGCTTCCTCTTTCCTCCTCTTCATCCTCTTCCACCTCCCCCACTTTCTCCTCCCTTTCCTCGCCCTGCGCTTCCGCTCCGCCCTCCGCATGCTCACCCCCCTCCTCCTCTCCCTCCTCATCCTCCTCCCTCCCCTCCTCCCCCTCCTCCCCCTCCTCCTCCTCACTCCCCTCCACCTCACTCCCCTCCCCTTCACTCTCTTCCTCCCGCTCCTTCCCCTCCTCCACACCATCTTCATCATCATATACCATTAAAAGCCGATCATGGGGTGCCACACCGACACTTAGCAAAGCGAGGGACAGCAGACCCTGCTTGGCTCGTGCGTGCAGGGCAGTGAGGAGAGGGAGAGGGAACAGCTGTGGCTGTAGCACGTGTGACTCCAACAGGAGAACAGTGTCGTTGGCACTGGAGGCAGCACAGGAGGGAGAACGAGTAGGGAATAAGGCACGGGATGAGAGGGGGAGAAGAAAGGGAAATACGACAAGGGAGGAAAGACGAGTGAGCGGTGAGGAGAGGGAGAGGGAACAGCTGTGGCTGTAGCACGTGTGACTCTAACAAAAGGACTGTGTCATTGGCACTAGAAGCAGCACAAGAAGGGGAAAGAGAAGGGAATAAGGCACGGGATGAAAGGTGAGTGAATAATTACTGAGGAGAGATGTGCTGATGGAGGTAAGTGGCTCTGGCGTGGATTGGCAAGACCTGCAGTGTGGTGTGGCTTACTGGGCCTAGTGCACCGTGCGGTGGGGAGAGTTTTGAGTCGACTCAAAACAAGACCTGCAGTGTGGTGTGGCTGACTGGGCCTAGTGCACTGGGTGGTGGGGAGGATGTCGTGCAGAAATTGGCCTGCGCTGACTGATCTTAGAGGCTCTGGTGTGGCTTGGCAAGTAGGCGAGTGGGAGCATGCAGACGGGGTATGTGCTACAGAGCATACTGGGCATAGCAGCCGGCTTGCTGGGCCTGGCTCACCGGGTGGTGGGGAGGACGTCGTGAAGAAAGTGGTCTGTTCTGGCTGATTTGAATGGACTGGCGTGGACTGGCGTGGACTGGCGTGGACTGGCGTGGACTGGCGTGGACCGGCGAGAGGCCGAGCACTGCACTGATTTGCATTGCATGTGGGGTTGCTGGGCCTAACAGGCAGCTTTCTCACCGTGTGGTGGGGAGGACCGCGTGCAGAAAGTGGTCTGTGCTGATTGCCCTCAGAGGCTCTGGCGTGGGTTGGCGAGAGCGTGAGAGGGATGCAGTAGCAGCAGCAGAAGCAGCAGCAGAAGCAGCAGCAGAAGCAGCAGCAGAAGCAGCAGCAGAAGCAGCAGCAGAAGCAGCAGCAGAAGCAGCAGCAGAAGCAGCAGCAGCAGTCGTGAAGGGAAAGAACCAAGAGCTTGTGCTGCTGCGCCTGCTACTGCTCGCTTCGCTGCCCCTGCTACTGCTCGCTTCGCTGCCCCTGCTGCTCCTCTGCCCTGCTCCTGCATCTGCTGTTCGTGTGCGTCTGCTGCTGCTTTTCTCGCTTTGACCTTCCCTAGCCCCTGCCTTGCTTCTCCTGCTGCCACTGCTGCTTCTCCTGCTGCTGCTCCTGTTTTTGCTGCTGCTGCTACTAGGAGCAGATGAGCCCAGTGGATCGACTGTTTGCTGGTTCAACGGACGAATCAGGCGGTGCCACGTGGAGGTGAGGAAGCCTTGGAAGGAGCTTGGGCGCGCCCCAAAGGTGGGGACCTGTTCTGAGGCGTCTGAGGGGGAGGAGAGCAGGAGGGAGGGAGCGAGATAGGGAGATGAGAGGAGAAAAAGGAGGAGGGAGGAACAAAGAAGCCTTGGAAGGAGCCTGGGCGTGCCCCAAATGTGGGCACCTGTTCTGAGGCGTCTGAGGGGGAGGAGAGGGGGCGGGAGGGAGCGAGATAGGGAGATGAGAGGAGAGAAAGGAGGCGGGAGGAACAAAGAAGCCTTGGAAGGAGCCTGGGCGTGCCCCAAAGGTGGGAACCTGCTCTGATGCGTCTGTGGGAGAGAGGGGGGATGAGAGAAGAGAAAGGGGGGAAGGAGGGAGGAGTAAGGAAGAGTAAGGAACGAGCCTGGCCGTGACCCAACGGTGGGACCTCCTCTGAGGCGTCGGAATGGGAAAGGAGAGGGACGAGATAGAGGGAGGGAGATCGGTAAACGAGAGGAATGTTTAAGGCCTGGAAAGGATGCGCCGCCAGGCCGTGCCCCAAGATGCTGCCCCAAGGATTCTCAAAAATACCCGAAAGGATGCGCCGCCAGGCCGTGCCCCAAGATGCTGCCCCAAGGATTCTAAAAAATGCCCGAAAGGATGCGCCGCCAGGCCGTGCCCCAAGAGAGAAGTGTACTTTTGAGACGTCTATCCTCAATGCCCCCCTTTGCCCTGGCCTCATAACTACACTGCTCTCACATCACATGGCGCCAGGCCGTGCCCCAAAGGCGGGGCACTTGCTCTGAGGCGTCTGAATGGGAAAGGAAACCCTAAACCTGAAACAAGCAAAGAGGGAGGAGGAAGGAGGAGGATACGGAGTGGAGGACGTTTTGAGGAGCCTCAAAACTATACGGAGCCAGTGCTGACGGCGTGACTGCCATGGCACATCACAGGCACTGCTCTAGAATACACGCTTCCCTTCCCTCGCCCTCTCGCCTATGAGGCCAACCAAGATGAGTGAGTCGCCCCCAATGCGCATCACCCGACCGCCCGTGCTGATGGAGTGACTGTGATGGCGCATCACAGGGATTGCTCTAGCATTCACACCTTTCTCATCTCTTGCTCTCTCACCTATGAGGCCAACCAAGCCGAATGAGTCGCCCCCAATGTGCATCACCCGGCCGCCAGTGCTGATAAAGTGACTGTGACGGCACATCACAGGCACTGCTCTAGAATACACTCTTCTCTTCCCTCGCTCTCTCACCTATCAAGCCAACGAGGCCAAGCGAGTCGTCTCCAATGTACATCACCCGGCCGCCTGTACTGATGGAGCGATGGGGAGGCATCAAATGCAGATCACTGTTAAATCTAAAGTGCACGCTCTCTCACCTATCAAGCCAACGAGGCCCAGTGAGTCGTCTCCAATGTACATGACCCGGCCGCCCGTGCTGATGGAGTGATGGAAGAGACGGGTGAGGGCCTGATGCGGGGGAAAAGGAAGGAAAGGGGGATGGGTGGGCATGGCGGAGTAGCAGGTCAATCAGCCCCACCAGACCCAGTGAGTCGGCCCCAATATACATGACCCGGCCGCCCGTGCTGATGGCGTGATGGAAGGAGGGAGGGAGAGAAGAGGTGGGCACGGGGGGAGGGTACCAGACATATCAGCCCCACCAGCCCCAATGTACATCACCCGACCGCCAGTGCTGATGGTGCGATGGAAGAGATGGGTGAGGGCCTCTTGGGGGAGGGAGGGGTAGTGTGGAGGGAGAGGTGGTGTGGGGGGAGAGGTAGTGTGGACGGAGAGTTGGTGTGGGGGGAGAGGTGGTGTGGGGGGAGAGGTAGTGTGGACGGAGAGTTGGTGTGGGGGGAGAGGTGGTGTGGGGGGAGAGGTAGTGTGGACGGAGAGTTGGTGTGGGGGGAGAGGTGGTGTGGGGGGAGAGGTGGTGTGGGGGGAGAGGTGGTGTGGGGGGAGAGGTGGTGTGTGGGGAGAGGTGGTGTGGGGGGAGAGAGCATGGGTGGGTGGATGGAGGCTGGGAGTGCTGCTGTAATGACCCTCTCACAAGTGCTGATGGAGCAATGGAAGAGGCGAGTGAAGGCCTGGTGGGGGGGTCTGGGGGGGGAAGGGGGATGGGTGGGAAAGGTGGAGTTGCTGTGCTGCGTGTGAGTGAGCGACAGATGCCCTCCCCAGTGCAATCTAAAAAACACTGCCGCAGAAGCTGATGGACTTTAGAGTCGACTAGGAAAACACTGCCGGGTAATTGCTGGTAAAGCAGTCTAAAGCTATTAAAAACTCACCACAATTCCGGGTAATTGCTGGTAAACTCCCCTCATCGCCCCCTCGTAAGCAGCCATCACATCGCCATACCGAGCCGCGGGGGCAGCCTCGGTTCGGCCCCAGCCTACCCGTGCCGCCCGCCGAACCGCTGTTTTGTCATCGGGAGTGAGCTCGGGGGGAGGGTTGATGAGTAGGAGGGGCACTCCTGCATCTGGTGGCAACGGGGGACAAGGGGAGAAGAGTCCAGGAATGAGCTCAGGAGTGCATGATACATCTTCTGTCACATGCGGCCTTCAAGAGTGAGCTCTGGGGGAGGGTTGATGAGTAGAAGGGGCACTCCTGCATCTGATATGGGGGGAACAGGGGGGAGGGGGATGAAATGAGGTGTAGGAAAATTGCAACATGTTTTTACACTACATTGGGGGGGAGTGAGCTTCGGGGGAGGGTTGATGAGTAGAAGGGGCACTCCTGCATCTGATATGGGGGGAACAGGGGGGAGGGGGATGAAATGAGGTGTAGGAAAATTGCAACATGTTTTTACACTACATTGGGGAGTGAGCTTCGGGGGAGGGTTGATGAGTAGAAGGGGCACTCCTGCATCTGATATGGGGGGAACAGGGGGGAGGGGGATGAAATGAGGTGTAGGAAAATTGCAACATGTTTTTACACTACATTGGGGAGTGAGCTTCGGGGGAGGGTTGATGAGTAGAAGGGGCACTCCTGCATCTGATATGGGGGGAACAGGGGGGAGGGGGATGAAATGAGGTGTAGGAAAATTGCAACATGTTTTTACACTACATTGGGGAGTGAGCTTCGGGGGAGGGTTGATGAGTAGAAGGGGCACTCCTGCATCTGATATGGGGGGAACAGGGGAGGGGGATGAAATGAGGTGTAGGAAAATTGCAACATGTTTTTACACTACATTGGGGAGTGAGCTTCGGGGGAGGGTTGATGAGTAGAAGGGGCACTCCTGCATCTGATATGGGGGGAACAGGGGGGAGGGGGAAATCTGAGAACTGCCAAACGTTATCCTTGGGATTGAGCTCTGGAGGAGGGTTGATGAGTAGGAGGGGCACTCCCGCATCTGATATGGGAGGGGGATGGGAGGGTAGGAAGAAATGAGGTGTAAGAAAATGGCGACATCTTATTGTGATTTGCCACGTGCTGGCTTCGGGAGTGAGCTCTGGGGGAGGGTTGATGAGCAGAAGCGGCACTCCCGCATCTGATGATGGGGAGGAAGAGGGGATAGGGGACGAGGAGTGAGGTTTAGGAGTGCATGGTATCTTCTTCTGAGGCGCCTCAGAAAACATGGTACCCTCTCACTCAGGCATCGTTGCTTCCTGCCACGTGCTGTCCTCTGGAGTGAGCTCGGGGAGAGGGTTGACTTTGACTTGACACGGAAAAGGGACTATCCTCATCATGAAGGAAGGAGACATGAGGGTGGGTCGACACAACCCGGCTGACTTTTGAGTCGACTAAAAAATGGAGCTGGGGAGTGAGAGCGTGGCTTGTGAGGCTGGTGGTGGAAACGTGGTTGATAGAGGTGATTTTTTAGGCGCCCCAAAAATCATCTCAGTGGCGGTGGTGGTGGAAACGCGGTTCAAGGAGACATGAGCACTCGGAGACTGTTTGCACTAACCTGGGCTTGACTACACTCAACATTCACTCTTTTTCAGGTGCCTAAAAAATGGAGACATGAGCACTCGGACACTGCTCGCACTCACCTGGGCTGGACCCAACATTCACTCACAACCTCCCACCCAGGGCGCACAAGCACAGCACTCTGGCAAGGGCTTGGTTGACGATGGTTTCCAGAAGGACCTTGGTGGCAGTGCCGCAACAACCCCATAACCCCACAGCCTCTACTCACACACACCCTCACACGCACTTACCTGACTGTCAACACTCTCACTGGCACACACTCACTCACAGCTTCCAAGGGCGGGCAGGCGCAGCACTCTGGCAATGGCGCGGCTGAAGATGGTTTCCAGGAGCTTGGTGGCAGTGCCCGACAGCTGCCCCCCCACAGCCTCTACTCACTCACACACCCCCTCACAAGCTCAACTCGGCTCATTTGACCCCCACACGGACTCACAGCTTCCTAGAGCAGGCAGGCGCAGCACTCGGGCGATGGCTCGGCTGAAAATGGTATCCAGGAGAACAGCACACTGATAAGATTCAACCTACACTGTTTGCTAACAATCACACTGCCACTCACAGCTTCCCAGGGCAGGCAAGGGCAGCACTCGGGCGATGGCTCGGCTGAAAATGGTCTCCAGAAGGATTTTGGTGGCAGTGCCGCCAAAGCCTCTACTCCTTAACTGACCCCTCACACTCACAGCTTCCTAACGCAGGCAGGCGCAGCACTCGGGCAATGGCTCGACTGAAGATGGTTTCCAGAAGGACCTTCGTGGCAGTGCCCGACAGCAGCCCCCCCACAGCCTTTACTCACGCATGCCCCCACACGCTCGCCTCATTCGACTGCCAGCACTCACAGCTTCCGAGAGCAGGCAGGCGTAGTACTCGGGCGATGGCTCGGCTGAAAATGGTCTCCAGAAGGATTTTGGTGGCAGTGCCGCCCTTGAGCCGCGTGGACCCTGTTATGGTCTCCTGCATGGTCGTTGGGCACACGGGGAGGGAAGGGAAGAGAAGGGATATGAGCGGCCAGACTCCTTTCCTTTCAGCTGGAGGACCTTGGTGGCACCGCCGCCCTTGAGCCGCGTGGACCCTGCGATGGTCTCCTGTGTGGTGGCATGGCATATTGGATGCATAGTGGCATGGTGGTGGTGGCAGGCATGGCGGCAAGGGGGTGGGGGTGAGTTAGAAGCCTTGGTGGCACCGCCGCCCTTGAGCCTTGTGGACCCTGTGATGGTCTCCTGTGGTTGGGAGGGAAGGGGAAGGATGGGAAGGTTGGGAGGGAAGGGGAAGGATGGCTGTGCGGCTGAAGATAGTCTCCAGAAGGACCTTGGTGGCACCGCCGCCCTTGAGCCTCGTGGACCCTGTTATGGTCTCCTGTGGGTGTTGGGGGCACATGGGGTGGGGATGGAAGAGATGTGAGCCGCACATCTACAGTGCGTCTCGAAAGAACTTTGGAGTCGACTCAAAAGTCACCTTGGGGGCACATGGGGTGGGGATGGAAGGGATGCGAGCCGCACATCTACAGTGCGTCTCGAAAGAAGGCGTTCGGCACCAAAGGCTTTTCTCCCTGGCTTTACTCCCTGGCTTTGCTCCCTACTTATCCTACCCCTCCCCCCACTCACCAGCAGGAGAGCGGATACCTAAGTGCCTTGGAACAGTCCCCTCTGCTTCGCAGTGTCATCATTTCTCCTCTAAAGCCCTCCCCACCCTTCCCTATCCCTACCCCCTGCATACCGGGCCAACAGCAGGCGAGAGGAGGAAGTGCCTTGGCTCATCCCCCTCTGCTTCAAAGCATCACCATTACTCCTCTCAACTCCTCGCCACCCATCCTCACCCCTCATCCCTACATACCGGGCCAACAGCAGGGGAGAGGATGAAGTGCCTTGCGACTTCCCCCTCTGCTTCAGCAGCATCAATACGAGCCCTCAACTCTTGAAGGACAGACGGGAAGGTGACGCCTGGAGCGCCCTGGTTGGGGATGGAGGATGGGAGGGGAGGGGTGCTGAGACTGAGATGAGATTGCTTGCAGCAGCAGCAGAGTTTTCAGCAGCATCGATGCGAGCCATCAACTCTTGAAGGACAGACGGGAAGGTGACGCCTGGAGCGCCCTGGTTGGGGACGGGTTTGGAATCGGGAGGGACAGGAGAAAGAAATGGGGTGGAAGAGAATATATGGGAGGAAAGGGTGGTGTCTGTTTCAGCAGCATCTAAGTCGTCTTTTGAGAATTCTCAAAAGTGGAAGGTGCAAAGTGAGGTTTCTGAGCATTGATGCGAGCCCCAGCCCTCATTCCTACAAGGAAAGCTGGGAAGGTCACGAATGGGGGTGAAGGGTTGGGGCGGAATTGGATAGCCGCAGCAGAAACAGCTTCAGCAGCATCGATGGGAGCCCCAGCCCTCATTTCTTCAAGGAAAGCTGGGAACGTCATGCCTGGATGGAGGTTCCCGGATGGCGAATGGGGGAGGGCGGGGAAGGTAACAGACACAGCAGCAGCAGGGAAGCAGCATCATCGATGCAAGCCCTCAAAAGCTAGCAGCAACACCTTCCCTCCCCTACTATCCCAACTCCCCACCTTAAGTGATCCAACCAACTTCACCACCTAGCTTTGTGTTTGGCGGTGTTTTTTGAGCCACCACAGAAGTGGCGTCTCTACACGCACCCACCTTGGTGTTTGGAGCTAGAGAGGGCGGATTGAAGCCCATGACAGCAACGGCGTAGTGTGACTGGGAGAGGGCGTACTGGCGAGGTGGGCACGGTGGAAAGGGAAGAGAGCAACACGAAAGATCAGGGTGGAGGTCTGATGAGTGCAATGAAAGAAGCCCATGACAGCAACGGCGAACTGGCGAGGTGGCAGCGGGGCAACGAAAAGGAAGCAAGTCAGAGAACAATCGAGTGTCAATGGTTGACTTGTTTGACTTGTTTGACTTGTTTGACTTGACCCACACTTGACTTGGTTGACTTGTTTGACTTGACCCACACTTGACTTGTTCGAGCGACCTTGACTTGTTCGAGCGACCTTGACTTGTTCGAGCGACCTTGACTTGTTTGAGCCAGACATGCGTGACTTGTGTGACCCACGCTTGCCCCGGGCAGAATCCATTTTTGACTTGCTTGACTCACCTTGACTTGCTTGACTCACCTTGACTTGCTTGACTCACCTTGACTTGTTCGACTCACCTTGACTTGTGCTGCCACGTAGGGTGCACTGAGGCCACAGCTGATGCCGATCTGAGGAAGAGAGAGAGGGGGAAAAGTAGGAGATGCGGTGCAGTGCGGTTTGAAAGCATGCTCCTACACAGGGTGCGCTGAGCCTGTTTTTAAGTCGACTCAAAAACAGGCACTGAGGCCACAGCTGATGCCAATCTGAGGCAAGAGAGAGAGAGAGAGGGACGGGGAAGGTGGTGGGGGCAAGGCTAAAGAGCGAGATTGCTTTTTTGAACGGGCTGGTTTCTTACGATTGTATCTTACGGAAGTTTTGGGTGAAGTACGGCCGGAATTTCCTAAAGAATTTTGATCACCCCCCAAAAAAGGAGAAAACAAAAGTAGGAACATTTTTCAGGTCATGGCCACGAATAAGAGAATGCAAGAAAGGAAAGGGCTAATGCGCTTTGTTTAGACGATAATATAAGCAGCTTCCCCCACAGTTTCGTTTGCTTGAGTCGACTCAAACATACAGAGAGTAAGCAGGAATAGGGAAGGCAAGAAAAACCCCAATTGCTTCCACTCGCCTCAGAGCCGCCCCGAACATATAAAGAGTAAGCAGGAATAGGGAGAGCAAGCAGGCAAGCAAAGCGTACATAGAGCACTCGCCCGCACGGCTTCCCCCACGGATTCCCTGTTGCCTTTACTCGCCTCAACGCCACCCCAAACATATAAAGAGGAAGCAGGAATAGGGAGAGGCAAGCAGGCAAGCAAGCAAAGCGCACATAGAGCACTCGCCCGCACGGCTTCCCCCACGGATTGCCTCTTGCCTCCACTCGCCTCAGAGCCACCCCGAACATATAAAGAGTAAGCAGGAATAGGGAGAGCAACCAGACAAGGACAACACACATAGAGCACTCGCCCGCACAGCTTTCCTCACGGGTTCGTTCTCTTGAGTCGACCCAAACATACAGAGAGTCAGCAAGAATAGGGAGAGCAGGCAAGCAAGCAAAGCGTACATAGAGCACTCGCCCGCACGGCTTCCCCCATGGATTGCCTCTTGCCTCGACTCGCCTCAGAGCCGCCGCTGCTGCCTCCTGGTTGTCCTCCGCCCCCTCCTGCGCCTGGTTTAGTGGTATACAAGGGGTGACAGGGAAGGGAGAAGGGTGTAAGACGAGGCATAGGGAGGTGGAGGGGCAGGAGGGTTTCACTGTGCTTACCCTCCTCTCCCTTCCACTCGCCTCAGAGCGGCCACTGCTGCCTCCTGGTTGTCCTCCGCCCCCTGCTGCACCTGCGGTAGCGGTGTGGGTCATAGGGAGAGGAGTGTGTGAGGGGAGTGTGTGAGGGGAGTGTGTGAGGGGAGTGTGTGAGGGGAGTGTGTGAGGGGAAGGGCTCACTGTGATTTCCCAACTCTTGATTCTTTCCACTCGCCTCAGATCAGAGCTGCCTCTGCTGCCTCCTGGTTGTCCTCCGCCCCCTTCTGTGCCTGGTGTAATGGTGTAGGGAGGGGGTGGAGAGGGAGGGGGCGAGGCGGATAGGAGGTAAGGGAGGTTGAAGTGGGTGGTCGAGGGGATAACAATGCTTCCACTCGCCTCAGAGCCGCCTCTGCTGCCTCCTGGTTGTCCTCCGCCCCCTTCTGTGCCTGGGGTATAGTAGGGGTGTGGTGTGGGGAGAGAAGTGTCCGAGAGGTGTGCGAGGGGAGTGTGTGAGGGGGGAGGCTCACTGTGCTGTCCTTTCCCTCCACTCGCCTCAGAGCCGCCTCTGCTGCCCCCTGGTTGTCCTCCGCCCCCTCCTGAGCCTGGTGTTGAGTGGAGGTGTGGGGAGGGGTGACAGCATGTATGGGGCGGTTGGAGAGGGCGGCCAAGGGGGTCTCACTGCCTCCTCTTTCGCCTCCACTCGCCTCAGAGCCACCTCTGCTGCATCCTGGTTGTCCTCCGCCCCCTCCTGCGCCTGGAAAGGGGTGTAGGGGGGTGGCAGGAGGTATGGGGTGGTTGGAGAGGGCGGTTAAAGGAGTCACACTGGGATGAGATGAGCACGTGGAGGGGAAGCAAGGCAGCAGGCCGCATCAAAGGATATTCATCAGCACCATGCCTGCATGCGTCCCAAAACCCCCTCCTTCCCCACCACACACACCTACATTCAGCAATGCAAGTAGGGCCCCTGCAATGAGGAAGTGGAAGCAGGGCGGCAGGCCGTACGAGAGGAGACACAGCGGCATGCCCGCACCTGCCCATACCATGCCATGCACATGCGCACACTCTCAAACTCGCACTCGCACACACACGCGCGCACCCCCCCACACACACACACACACACACACACGCACGCACGCACGCACGCACGCACGCACGCACGCACGCACGCACGCACACACACACACACACACACACACACACCTTGAGTAGGGCTGGCAACCCTCCTGCGATGAGGAAGTGGAAGCAGGGTGGCAAGCCGTATCTCCTGAGCACAGCGTTGAAACAGACAACCACCTGCAGGAGATTTTTCAGGTGAAAGTCGGTTGGGCGGTTGGCACGTGCCAGGTGGTTGGCTGGATAAACGTCCAGTGCAAAGAACATCCTAATGCGTTTCAAAAATGACGCTAAAGAGCATGCAGATTGAAAAAACGAGAGGGGTTTTTTAGCTAGATCGACTGTGGTAAGGAGAAAGCCGAAGTGATTACAGAAAGCTCCATCCCCTTCCTTCCCATTGTTCCAGCTTAAAAGGGTGAGTTTATAGTCGACTTAAAAGGTCACCCTGTTAAAAAAAGCTCGTCTCAATCTGTTTAATAAGGAGGCTAATTGATCAATCAAAGAACGGATGGAAGAGAGACAAAGGTTGCCAGAGGGGAAAGAAAGTGCAATAGCAGGAAATGAGCAGGAATCACAGTAACTAACACCTGACATGAAGACGCACCTGAAAAGCTATTCTGCCACTGGTGCCAGCACCTGACACCACCACTGCACTATCCTGAGTTATGGGGGAGTGGGGTGGATGATTGCGAGGGGAGAGAAGGGGGAAAATTGGCGAAGCGAAGGGTAGAGGGGAAAGTGGAGCTGGGGAAATGCATACGTGTCAGCACCTGACAGCACCACTGCATTATCCTGATTTACAGAGTGGTGGGGCGCGATTGGGAGGGTGGGGGGGGGAGAGATGGGTAAGTGGGGCCCATGCGAGTGAGTGGTGCCAGCACCTGACACCACCACTGCACATCCTGAGGGCAGGGGCGGTGGAGACCATGATTAGGAGGGAAAGAGATGGGTGAGTGAGTTGGGGCCATGCAAGTGGTGCCAACACCTTACCCCACCACTGTAACATTGGGAGGAACGAAGGAGAGAGAAAAGGCAAGGGAACAGGAAACAGCAGCATGCATTGAAGAGGAAGAGAACACGAACGAGGAAGAGGAAAAGAAAAGGGGGGGAAGGGCAGGGGAGGGCTGGGGAGGGCTGGGGAGGGCAAGGGAGGTAAATCTGAAAAGGAGGAGATAAAGAGGAAGAGAAAGAGGAGGAGGGAAAGGAGGGACGGGGAAGGACGGACAGCTCACCTTGGAGAAGGATACGATTTCAGCCGCTACTGCTGTGAGCTGGTCGACCACTCGAATGGTCTGATGTAGATAAGGGGGGGGGGTAGGGGCGGACAGGGGGGAGAGGCGGAAAGGGAGGAGGGGCGGACAGTGGGGAGGGGAGGGGAACGGACAGGGGGGAATGGAGGGGGGCGGACAGGGGGGAAGGGAGGGGGGCGGACAGGGGGGAGATGAGGAGAGTGGACAGGGGAAAGGGGAGGGAGGCGGAAAGGGAGAAAAAGACTCAAAGGGAGTGAACAGAGCGTTGAGGAGATTCTCAGTATCTACTAGCTTGAAGCACATCAGAATCCACGAACAGCTCAAATCACCCTCACTCTCTGCCCCATACTCACCCCTCTGCACTCCCCCCTCTGCACTCCCCCCTCTGCACTCCCCCCTCTGCACTCCCCCCTCTGCACTCCCCCCTCTGCGCTCCCCCCTCTGCATTTCCCCCTCTGCGCTCCCCCCTCTGGATTTCCCCCTCTGCGCTCCCCCCTCTGGATTTCCCCCTATGCGCTCCCCCCTCTGCATTTCCCCCTCTGTGCTACCCCCTCTTCGCTCCCTCTCTGAACTCTGTCGGAGTACTCACTTATCCTTGCCAGCACTGCGTGGTTACCTTCTCTGCTCTCACCTCATCCTCCTTTTGTCCCATTTCCTTCCGTGATTGCCTTACTCAGTCCTCTCCTGCCTCAGCCACTTCCTGTGAGAAGTCCTGACTCCCACACAATGGCTACCCCGAGTGGCCTTGTCACCTAGCAGCAGTAGCTTAGAATGGTAACTTGCATCCACTATAACAGGTAGACAAACGAGAGAACAAGTCTGGCTCTGCTAGGCTAGACTACTAGTACTTGCTTTTCCCTGTCGCGAAATATTCAGGGGGCTGGGCTTGCACTGGAGTCGCCTGGGCTCTGGTTGGCCCTCGCCGATTTCCTGTCTCCCTAGGCCTCGAATTCTCCCAACATGCGCTTCGCAATCTTCTGAGTCACCAACTTCGCGTGCTTCCCCAAGTCCTCAACTACCACCCCAATACCCTGCATAACAACTTGTACACCACCTACACCCTACTTAGCTCTGAACGAAATATGCTGCAACTTACCAATATGTTTCGTGACAACTCCCTCTGTGCTATCCCCTCTGTGCTCCCTCTCTGAACTCCCTCTGTGCTACCCCCTCTGCGCTCCCTATCTGAACTCCCTCTGTGCTACCCCCTCTGCGCTCCCTATCTGAACTCCCTCTGTGCTACCCCCTCTGCGCTCCCTCTCTGAACTCCCTCTGTGCTACCCCCTCTGCGCTCCCTATCTGAACTCCCTCTGTGCTACCCCCTCTGCGCTCCCTCTCTGAACTCCCTCTGTGCTACCCCCTCTGCGCTCCCTCTCTGAACTCCCTCTGTGCTACCCCCTCTGCGCTCCCTCTCTGAACTCCCTCTGTACTACCCCCTCTGCGCTCCCTCTCTGAACTCCTGCTGCTTTCAGAGCGCCTGGCAGGCAGGCTTATTCATCTATAGAATTTGCTCTAATCGAAGCAGGCCGTTTTCGTCAGCCTACAGAAGCTTTCGCAAGGGAGGACAATCTCACACGCTCACCTCTTCGTCCATCAGGCCGGGGTAACCCGCATAGCCGGCGAAAAGCTGCGCGTCGCACGCGCGGAAAATTCGCACGATTTCGTCCGGCGACGCGACGTCTATCGCCGAGGACATCTCATTCGGCCGCTCTGTGAGAGGGAGCTCGTGCGACCGCGAATGCGACATCGTATGCGACCGCGAATGCGAATGCGAATGCGACTGTCAATGTGGAAACTGTGCGACGCTAGCAGGGACGATTCTATCTCGGGTTTACTCCAGCTACACCTCGTGTCTACGTAATACTTCGTTATAAGGCGCCCCAATACTGCTTCCTCATCTCGATTGTCAGTTTGCGTCTATACGCAAGCATTCGTAACACTCAACTCAAGTGACGCAGCGCCTGAAACGCTGTGCAGTCTACAAGGCTGCTATTCTGTTCCCACTCAGGTCCACCCACTCTTCCATCTGGAACCGACTTTCCTATGATCAAGGCGTGGTACATTCGAACAAAATGACGAAATCTAAAACAAAAATTTCGCTGTACTCATTCTTGATGAACCTTGATGCTCTGTTAGAACTTCTGGCGAACGACTCTGCGAAAAGTTCAAAGCTGGATACCCTTTCAAAATTCGATCACTGTCACAAGAGGTACCACGCCTGGACCTTCAGTTGGACGCGTTCGGTTCTGGTTTCTATCATCTTTTGTGGAACATAGAATGAGCAGAGCTGGAGTTAGTGAGAACGAACAGGTAACTCCATTGAAGATCAAATAAGTGTTGTAACTAAGCTCTTAGCTTGTTGTGCCTCGCTAGGCTCTCGTAAGCATTTCTCCCACAGACGGTCATTACTTCACAATCACCAGATCCACAGAAAGCTCGTTCTTCATGTCCGACTTTTATAGTGCAGAAGCCATGCCTCCCTCATACATCAACAACCTGTCAGATGACCTCCTTACTAAGATAATCTGGTATTCTCCAAAGCACGTCTCCGCTCGCCGTCAATCCGAAAACTGGAGTGATGCAATAGATTCCATCTTGTCACGACCTAGGTACACCTCCGAAAATCCGTACGGCGACGATCCCAAAACATCAGAAGGCTCTTCCGGACCGTCCTCCCTGCAGCAAAACGGCAACAACACTACTAGTCCATTGTCAGCTCCTAATATCCTTACAGATCCAGCGTATAATCTCCTCATCGCGTCTGTCTGCAAGCGCTGGCGTCGCGTGGCTCGCCGTGAGGTCTCAATGCTCGTCGTGAAGGAAAACATAGCGGCATCGCTTCAAGATCTTACCGCAGCCGTCAAGTGCTTCTCAAACCTCTCCCATCTGCACCTCAGCGACAACAGCGTAGAGATTATCAACGACGCGTTTTTCGATTTCCTCTCTTCGTCATGCCCTAATCTGGTGTCGCTGCACGTAGGAAGGTAGATCATGTCGAAATCGGACTGGTGCCGGCCGAAAGAGCATCCCGTGACCGAAACCGGTTTGGACCGATTCATACATCGCTGCACTCAGCTGCAGCACCTCTCGCTCTACTGCTTGCATTATTACGGCGCGCTACCGGATTCTCTCTCGCTGCTCACCAACCTTCACACCCTCGCTCTCACCGAAGGCTCGCTTCTCGAAGCTCCAGGATTCACAAACCTGACTTCTCTCACCGCGCTATCCATCGGTATTCCGGATGAGGAAGATGTGAATCTCTCGAGCCTCGCGCATCTCCCAGCCGTCTCCACCCTCGTTTTATTCGACAACACATGTCCGAATCTAGAAAGCGGAGAAGCATCTAACCCCTTTTCATTCACCCAGATGCCTTCGCTGACAGCCCTGGAGTTCGAGACGTGGTGTCCGCGGTTCGAGCTGTTGTTTCCATCAGGAAATTCGTTTACTCGTCTCGAGCGGTTGCTTATCAAAGGCTGCGACAGCCTCGAGCGGCTTCCTGACGACATTGGCGAACGACTGCCACGCCTTCGCGAACCGAGCTTGTGCGGATGCGAAAAACTTCTCGAGCTGCCCGAAACCTCTGGAAATATGCACACTCTGAAAACGTTGACGCTGAACCTCTTGCCACTGTCGAGCCTTCCAGGTTCGTTCACCCAGCTGACATCCCTGGAATCCCTCTACCTGTCTCACTGCAACGAAATCTTGGAGCTGCCTGCAAGGTTCGGTTGTCTCAACGCACTCAACTCCTTGAGTATTCTCGACAGACCTGAGGCTCCCAGACGACATAGGCTCACTCACCAACCTCCTCACCTTCCGGTTATCAAAAAACTTTTCGCAGCTGCTGCTTCCATCCTCGTTCACGCAACTGTCTTCCCTCACAAGTCTCCATATCACCAAGTGCAGGATACTAGCCGAACTTTCAGAGGACGTGGGGAAGCTGAGTAACCTGCGGGTATTGACTGTCCAATCCTGTCCTAATTTACCGAACATTTCAGAGTCTCTCACTGACCTTGTCAACCTAGAGGTTCTGAAAGTTGTGGACTGCGATAGCCTTACTGCAATCCCCAGCAGCTTGAGCAACCTTGGAAGGCTGAAAAATTTGGCACTAGCAAAGCTCCCCAACCTAGAACAAGTATCGGGATCCCTGCCCTGTTCCCTCGAGCTTCTTTCCCTAGGGAGCTTCGAGCGGCTCACCTCTCTGCTGGAAACCCCTGCACTTCCAAAGCTGAGGGAATTCAGCTCGACCAGTGAAGGGCTTATGGGTGGCCTGGCCGCTGGCTTGACTCTGCCCTCTCTAGAGCACTTACAGCTGGAATTCGTTGGAAATACAAAGCAGTTTTCGTTGCCTCCTAACTCCCTTCCTAAGCTCCGCCATTTGACAGTCCAAAATACTGCTTGGATGAGTAAGCTTCCGGATGGGCTTGGTTCGGCCTTGCAGCGGCTGAGGCGGCTGGAGATACGATGGGCTGCGGATGTAACAGAGTTGCCAGATGGTTTCACTGAGCTTCAGTACCTGACATCCGCTGAGATACATGCACCTAGACTTTCCTCTCTTCCGGACGGCATCGGGGCTCTATCGCGGCTGAGGCAGCTGAATCTTGAAGAATGCTCATCGCTCACCCAACTCCCTGCTTCTCTCACCCGGCTTTCCTGCCTTCATGAGCTGAACCTCAGCTGCACCGCCATACGCTCCCTGCCATGCCAATTTGGACAGCTGAGCCGGCTTAAGAAACTTAAGCTGGATGGATGCGAGGAGTTGGCTGCTCTGCCGGAAGATTTCACTCAGCTCAAGATGCTACACAGCTTGTCTGTTAAAGGGTGTGGCGAGATTTTACCTAGAGGTGTGAGAGATATGTACGGGTTGCAGGTTCATACTGATTCTGATCAGGATCCTTTTTCAGGTTTGCCTTTTTGAAATATTTTGATGCACTTCTGATCTGTGCTTCCAACGTCTACGTTTTTTATTCCTGCTTTATCCTATTGGAGACAATTATTTCCCTATAGCCGTTCTGAGGAGCTACAATTGTTGATACTAGTTTCCT